GACAACTACTTGAAAAAAAAAAAAAGAAAGAAAGAAACAAGCAAACCTAAAAAAAAAAATTAGAGAAAAAAAAAAAGAAAAAGAAAAAAAAAAAAAAAAAAAAGCAGAAAGGAAAATTCTTCCAACATGAAAACCCTATTTCGGATGGGGGGTTGGCTATGTTCCTTTCACAACCAAATCTTTATTGATACATAACCAAATTAGTATGATTTAACTTTACTGCAACGAAACGTGGGAGGGAGGGGGGGGCAACCTGCCTTGCAATGAACATTTTCAATAATAAAAGGTTATGTTTGGGAAAAAAATGGGGGGTGCAGCCCACATACCCACCCACCCCTCCGATATTACGTGTCTGCTATTACCAATGCAGTTGCTGGAGTTCACATCATACATATACCCTGAGCAACATTCAGATCTGAAACGAAAAACGAAGCCACACTTTTGATTTTGCATATTATATCAAATGTTCATTATTGCCAATTTTTATAAGATTGTGACCTTCGTCAGAAACATTTTAAACTGTAGTGGTCTATTATAAATCTGTTAAAAATTGTAAGGCATTTGCGTCTTCAAATGTATCATTTTATATAGAATGATTAACATTAAAAATTAGTAACTTATATATATATAAAAAAAAAAAAAAAATTAAATTTTTTTTTAAAAGCACACATGCAGGGACCTTGGGGAAGAATGTGGCTGATTTTGCGGTTGATTTTCAAATTTCCTCGATCATGCAACTTAAGATCCTTCTAATAAAATAAAATTTTTCTTCCGAGTTCCTATAATAAAATATCAGAATTTATTTCTAAGAGCATATTCAGTGAAGAATCTTTAATTAATCACAGAAGAGGTAAAAGGAGGAAAGGGGGGGGGAGTCAAAAAATGACTTAACTGGACAGGAGAGGATGCATTGAAAAAAAAAAAAAAAAAAAAAAAAAAAAAAAAAAAAAAAACTCTTAATTTAATTTTAATACTGGTGTAAATGTAATTCTTATTTGATACTTTCTGTGCGGTAAATTTTTATATAGAAAAACAAAATTAACTTACCCTTCACAGAGTATTTGCGATGATGTATCATCAAATAATGATGAAACATATATAAAATATAAAACCGTAAAAATTGACATCTTTAGATACAGAAAAATTGGTTTTATTTTCAATCTATTAAACTTTCAAAAATATATTCAATATGATCAAAATACAAAATTAAGCTTTTCCTGTGTAGAAGGAAATATGAATTTGAATCAGTGATTTCCGTTAATTTTACTTATGTATTTGCAACGATAAAATGTATATATGTTGATCCTAGGGTCTATAGGTTTCCTCTGAGTCTGTCCGTCCGTCCGTCTGTCTGTCTGTCTGTCCGTCTGTCCCTCTATCTGTCTGTCAGTCTGTCCCACTTGGTTTTCCGCACTTTTATCCTAAACGCTTGCAGATATTGAGCTGATTTTTGGTATGTGAGGGTATCTTGATGAGTTACAGATCAAGTTTGCATTTCGTTCCGCTTCATTAATTTTTGACGGAATTACGGCCTTTTCAATTTTTAGGGGTTTTCCGCAATTTTCTTCTAAACGCTTGCAGATATTGAGCTGATTTTTGGCATGTGACTTAACCTTGATTAGTTATAGTTCAAGTTTGCATTTCGCCCCGCTTCAATGATTTTTGACTGAATTATGGCATTTCCAATTTTTAACGGGAACCAGATTACACTTGCCGGTAGGGGACTAGTATTGCTAATGCAATACTCTCAGAATGCTTGTTTTTTTAATAGGAGACTAAAAAGTTTGTTGACAACTACAGTGTTTAATTATGTAAGGCAATATTTAATTTTACACAGCAAATACAGTGTATATTATTTCAATTGTTTGAGATCTTTAGAAGAAAACAATATAATGATTTTAGTATCTGGTATATAAAGTTTTTGTTTTACATTAAGAAATACATATACATGTATTCTACAGACCCGTGTTCAGGGTTATGTATGTTTAAATTTTGTGCAAGGTTTCATAACACCTCCATAGTGAACACATTTACCTTTTACTCATCACTAGCTTAAATGTTAAGATAAATAGATTATTTCAGATTGATTGCAGTTTCAAACAAGAGGCCCATGGGCCACATCGCTCACCTGAGCACAGTGGATAGGCAAAAGCACAAATCAGTTCAGTTTTGAAGAGATTCCGGGGGGGGGGGGGGGCTTGAATTTTAAACTACCTGATGATGCTTCCATGTCAAAATAACAAATGGCTTTGTTGTACTTGAGAAGATTTTAAAAAAAATTTCTGATATATTCCTTTGTAAAAATTTGATCCCCCCTTGTGGCTCCTCCCTATCCCAGGGGTCACCATTTGAACAAACTGGAATCTACACTACCTGAGGATGCTTTCATATCAATATGACTAAACATAGCTTTTCTGTTCTTGAGAAGAAATATTTTTTCTATATGTTCTTATGTAACATTTGATCCTCCATTGTGGCCCCGTCCTACTCTCGGGGGTCATCATTTGAACAAACTTGAATCTACACTACCTGAAGATGCTTCCATATCAATATGACTAAACATAGCTTTTCTGTTCTTGAGAAGAAATATTTTTTCTATGTGTTCTTATGTAAAACTTTCTATCCCCCTATTGGGCCCCACCCTACCCTCGGGGGTCATCATTTGAACAAAATTGAATTTACACTACCTGATGATGCTTCCATATCAAAATGACTAATCATGGCTTTGCAGTTCTTCATTAGAAGAAATCTTCCTATATATTTCTATTTCAGACTTTGATCCTCCATTGTGGCCCCACCCAACCCCAGGGGGGCAACATTTGAACAAACTTGAATCTACACTACCTGAGTATACTTCCACATAAATATGATCAATCAGGGCTTTGCTGTTCTTGAGAAGAAGATTTTTAAAGATTTTTCCTATATATCTCTATGTAAAACTTTTATCATCCTTTGGGGCCCTACCCTACCCCCAGGGGTCATGATTTGGACATACTTAAATCTACACTACCTTAGGATGCTTCCATATCAATATGATCAATTAGGGCTTTGCTGTTATTGAGAAGAAAATTTTTAAAGATTTTTCCTATATATTTCTATGTAAAACTTTGATCCTCCATTGTGGCCCTGCCCTACCCCCGGGGGTCATGATTTGAACAAACTTGAATCTACACTACCTGAGGATGCTTCCATATAAATATGACCAATCATGGCTTTGCTGTTCTTGAGAAGAAGATTTTTAAAGGTTTTTCCCATATATTTCTATGTAAAACTTTGATCCTCCTTTGGGGCCCCGCCCTACCCCCGGGGGTCATGATTTGAACAAACTTGAATCTACACTACCTGAGGATGCTTCCATATAAATATGACTCATCATGGCTTTGCTGTTCTTGAGGAGAAGATTTTTAAAGATTTTTCCTATATATTTCTATGTAAAACTTTGATCCTCCATTGTGGCCCCGCCCTACCCCCGGGGGTCATGATTTGAACAAACTTGAATTTACACTACCTGAGGATGCTTCCATATAAATATGACTCATCATGGCTTTGCTGTTCTTGAGGAGAAGATTTTTAAAGGTTTTTCCCATATATTTCTATGTAAAACTTTGATCCTCCATTTTGGCCCCGCCCTACCCCCGGGGGTCATGATTTGAACAAACTTGAATTTACACTACCTGAGGATGCTTCCATATAAATATGACTCATCATGGCTTTGCTGTTCTTGAGAAGAAGATTTTTAAAGGTTTTTCCCCATATATTTCTATGTAAAACTTTGATCCTCCATTGTGGCCCCGCCCTACCCCCGGGGGTCATGATTTGAACAAACTTGAATCTACACTACCTGATGATGCTTCCACATGAGTTTCATCTTCCCTGGCTTTGTGGTTCTTGAGAAGAAGATTTTTAAAAGATGCTATTAATTTTTCACTAATTCTTTATTATCTCCCCTTGAAAGAGGGCGTGGCCCTTCATTTGAACAAACTTGAATCCCCTTCACCCAAGGATACTTTGTGGCAAGTTTGGTTGAAATTGGCCCAGTGGTTCTTGAGAAGAACTCGAAAATGTGAAAAGTTTACAGACAGACGGACGGACAGACGGACAGACGGACAGACGGACTACAGACAAAATGTGATCAGAAAAGCTCACTTGAGCCTTCGGCTCAGGTGAGCTAACAAAAGCTGAAAAACAAAAATAACCGCCTTTTATTAACTCTTCATCTTTTACAGGAAATGCCGTGTACACAAATAAAAAATATATATACATTAATACAATAAACAGATATGTTCAATTATCCATCACAAAGAAAGAAAACAACAGGATACAGCACATTGTGCAGTCTGTATTTTCCAATAATCTCCTTCGAGGTAATTCTATTAATCATCCGCTTTAAAAAAAAAACCTTCAAAAATAAGATCTTGAAAAAATATAACATGATTAAAATACCACTGTGTTAAAACAAGATATTACAAGACAATGCAATTTTTCTCTTCTTCTTTGAGTTCTTGCCAGGACAGTGTCCTTGTTGATTTCCATGTAACATCGATTAAATACATTTAATTAAAATTAAACAATCAAGTGGTTCTTTGGCAAAGTAAAAAAAAAATAGTAGTCAAATCATCTCCGAACCCTATTCTCTAAGTAATGATTTTTCTTTCATCCCACCACAAATCCGTTTTAAAACAACACGCGAATTTCCCTATTTTCAAGAAATATATATTTTTTTAATATATATGTAATGATTTACAATTTACCTTGCTTTTAAGTAATATGTTTTCCCAATTTGTTGTTGAGAAAAAATTGGGTGGGTGATAAAGCTTTACATAGTACTTTGATCATACGTCTTTTTCTTTTTCCGATGCAGAACAATTCATCATCATTCAAACAAGAACCCATACATTTATGCATACAAACATACATACGATGCTTAAGTCCAAACGTTCGTTCATACATACGTACATGTACATATATTCAAACATTTATACATATATTAATATTACAAACTAGGTCACTATGACAAATGTTCTTAAAACAACTTCAAACAGAAGCAGGAAAGTAACCACAAGAAGATCTCCAGTTATCCTGAAAAAAAAGATGACACTGTTTTGCAGAATTAAGCGTTGCATATTACATGAACATATAATTATTGTATCAATAGTGAATGCAAGTGTTTTTTAAATAATGTTTTATACAGCCATTTTTTTTCTTTTTCTTTCTTGATTTATTTAATTTATTTGGATTTACTGGAATTTTATCCTACCTGTTTGATGAAGATAAACTAGTATATCCAGAAATATTTTCCTTTTTACTCTCTTGCTTGTTTCTCAGTCGGTTTTCTTTGACCATTTCATAGCACGTTTGATCTGAATTAAAAAAAAATATATAGACTGTTACATATATATGAAGAAACACAGCATTTAAAAAAAAATGGCATGTGTTTAAATATACGTAGGGCAAAATAAAGTTTTTCTCCTCAAAACATGTTTTCCCGTATTCACAGTTGACAGAGTATAGAATAGTCATTATTCCGGTGGTCACTTCTCCTATTTTTCTTTTTTTTTTCCGACCGTAGTCTATTATTTCTTTTTGGAGAACTTCAGAAATATTTTACTGACGTCAATCGAAAGAAGAAAACTGACAAGTCAAGTGAATTATTTTTCATCCTCGCACTTTGGGGCCTTTTTTGTACAATCGCATGCGAACCGTTGCTTATACGGTAAATGCTCTATCAGAAATCAAGTCGTGACAAACCTAATTCTACAGAAAAAATGGATAGCAACTGTTTCGTAACAAGAGCTCTGCACAATTAAGATGAAAGTTTCGGTCTTTCGGATGAAAACACAGTACAGCAGAAGCTGGCACGCTGAAGATTAAATGTCGAAATTTGAAGCTCTTCGTCGGGTGATTTACGCGTTGGTATCTGATCCCCTCCAGGCCACAATATGTGTTAAAGTATCCAAATTATGTTTTTCGTTAAGATTCGAACATATGTGTTTGTTTGTTTGTTTATATGTTGTTTAACGTCCCTCTCGAGAATTTTTCACTCATATGGAGACGCCACCACTTGCCGGTGGAGAACTGCAAATTTTGTCCTATACTCGGCACTTACGGCCATTGAGCAGTGAGGGATCTTTTTCGTGCCAGCACCTACTGCGACACGGGACCTCGGTTTATACGGTCTCATCCGAAGGACCGGTCTCCACGTCCCACAGTGGGATTCGAACCCGCGACGTAAGGATCAACTCCTTACTTCGCGACTCTAGAGCAGAGGCTCTAGCCACTGCGCCACGCGGGCGACTCGAACATATGTGAGAACGTAAAATAAATTTGAAATTTTTGTTTGCTCAGTGTAATGTGTCATATTCCCTTCATCTTGTTTCTATTTTTTCTTTATTTTTCTTTTTTTGATTTCTCTGAGGAAAGCAAATTAGAAACTCCGCACATAAGATGACATTCACCATCATCATACTATTAAATACAATGTACATGTATTATGAGGGAATAGTTACATTTGTATGCCTCCGCTGAGTTATAACTGGTTGGACATGGAGGATTATGTTTTGTGCACTCTGCATCATAGTTGTCCTGAATTAAGGCCCCTTGTAAATTGAATTCTGTACAAAAACCTGGAACAAGTCAAAAGTGTTGTTAAATGTACATGTATACATGCGTCATTTTTTTAACAAAAGTATCATGCTCTTTTTATAAATTCAAAATTTACACACCAAGGATAGTGCGATTAGGTGCGCATACTTCTAGTGTCGCATTTCTCCATGCATTGATAACACAATGATACTGAAATTTAAAATATTGTGCATTTTCTCCCGATGATTGTGAACACGACTGAGGAATAGAAGAACAATTGAATCTCTCTGCTGCTTTTCTCCAAGACTCTTCGTCGGCTGGGCAAGCGTCAACTATCTTAACGGTAAGTACTGAGACCTCACACTTCGTGAATGCCAACACCTGTAAATTAATATAAAATTTCTCTAGATGATCGTCAGATATTTGCGCATTTGGGAAAATAAAGGTTTCGTAGAGTATTTAATGCTTATCAACAACACTCGAACTTGTGGGATTTAAATCAACAGATTGGTACACTTGGTACATGAGATCGGATTTGTTTGTCTTCTTTTACTTTTATATGTGAGTAAGTGGAACTCTCCACAATCGAAGATAGCCCGACTGGAAATGATGAGGTTTTTATTATGGTCCATGTCCAATTATACATGTACATGTAATATAGGTAATTGTCAGTTTGATTATGCATTGGCAAAGAGCAATTTTTTTCAAGGTGTGTACCCCTGTAAAGATGGAGTACTTGAGTGAGGAATTTCAGTATTTATCATTTTTGTTACGACATTTTTAGTACTACTTTATTTCAGTATTCCCCACCTTTACGAAGTCCCTTAATGACTGACTGACAAAACATGCCCACGCCTTTCTCTCTCTCTCTCTCTCTCTCTCTCTCTCTCTCTATTCATTATTTTTTCTTTTTAAGAAACCTTGAAGGAGGGGGGTTGGGGGGGGGGTGTTGAATTTACGAGATTGATGAAATATAAATACATTTTTGATACCAACCTCTTGCACAAGTAGGAACATCACCAAAGTTACCATAAGAAATCCACGATACAAATCCATATCTTCTCTTTTCTGCTAGAAAAAAAAATATGCGATTTTTTTCCCCCATAAAATGCTAGTAATAAAGAAACATATTGCAATATTTTTTTAATTATATTTTTTGAACGAATTTAACACTTGCCAAACGTATAAACATCGACTGCGTGTTTAAGTTAATTAATAATTGTATTAAAAATTCAAACAAAGTGAGGAAATTAACTGAAAGATTAGTTTTAATTCATAGGCAAAATTGGATGTGAATTCATGCACACTTTACGAAATATCATTTATATATACAGTGTTTAACTAATTAAATTGAAAAAAAAATGTGGAAAAAATACCTTTTGTAAATTTTCTGCAGGTAAAAGCTCCTCTATATGATGTTATCCATGGATGATCACAAAATTTTCAATCTAAATTTAGCTAAAAAATTATCAGACGAAAGAACAATCTGCTTCGGCATTTATACAAATAATCAGCAGCAAAAACAGTTATTATCTTGTGTATATTGTTATTTAGTCAAAACTACATTTTTTTGTATTTTCATAACTAAAAAAAAAATGTTATTCGAAGGAATACGAGTAATAATCAACGAACTACAAGTATTTATGAAACTATTCATAGCCACGGTAGTTTTCAAGCTATAAATACCCGATATATCAAATGCAGGTTACCTGAAGCTAAAACGAAAGTAGATTCACAATTTGTCTTCGGTAACCCACTGAGGTAATTGCAAGACACAAATTATTTTGAGAAAAAGTGTTCAATCAGTATTACATTGCAAGAAATATTAAATATACATCTATTAGTTTATTGATTTTCTTTGTTGGTCGTTAATAATTTATTAAAATGAATGCATTTTGCAAGGGGCGGAATGTTTCAACTTGATGTCATTTTTTTTTTTTTTATAAATATAAAAATCCTTTCTACTTGAATATACTTCATTTTATAGGCCCGGCGTGGATCCAGGATTTTTTCCGGGGGGGGGGGGGGGGGGTTCCATCCCAGTCCAAAAAAATCTAACCTAAAAATGTCTTGACAAGCAAAAAGGGAAAATCCATGTGAAAAAAAACCCCATATTTCAAGGTGGTGATGATAGAGTCCACGTTTTCTGGGAAAGGGGATCCAAAGTCATTTTTTATTAGCTTCAGTATATACTTTTCATAAGTCTGCAAATTCCAGGGGGGGGGGTCCTGCCCCCCCCCCCCGACCCCCTCTAAATCCGCGCACGTAGACTCTCCTTTCAAATTACCGAAAGAATATTAATATTCAAATGAATGAAAAGATTTTCTCGGAGGATAAGATAGGAAGGGGCATAAAATAAGGAGTTGGCGGGATTCACTCCTCCTTTAAATGACATTCAATTAAGACGTAAATTTATTTTAAAGAAATTCCGAAAAATTCCCTTCCACACTCCTATGTGCGACTGATGCACAGTTGATTATGAAAATTGTTGCAAATTACTTAAGTTTATCTGAAGAAGTTTTGAAGACAACAAAGAGTTGTCAAAGGATTTTTTTTCCTTCGAAATACATGTACGTATTTACCATACCTTTGAAGCAGAAGACGATCATTTTGCATTTTATTTTCTTCCTGATGCACATGTGTACATGAAAAGAGCTTTAAATTCGTGAACAATATTATAAAAAAAATGAAAAATTATTTGCATTGATCATTAAATTTTATATTTACCTTTTGAATATGGATAGAACTGTCTGTTTTTTCCCTATCGATGTGGGTTTTTTTTTTTAAGAAACAGATACACTGTATGTTTATTTGTGAGAGAGAGAGAGAGAGAGAGAGAGAGAGAGAGAAGATTAATTTTTTGTTCTTCAAAGTTTTTAACTGTGCTTTTGAAGATGTTGATAATGTCATTACATTTTCTGTATCTTTTTTTATTTATAGATAATATTTGTAAGGTTTCATGAGTCTCGAAATCATCAACAAATTTAAAAAAAAAAAAAAAAAAAAAAAAAAAAAACTTTGCGTGTAAAGTCTCATCTAATATCAACCATAACCTTTAAACCTTTAAACTAATTTGTGCATAATGAAATCGGGAAGGGTGTACTTTGAAGTGTTTCATGTGGCTATAATCGTTGTGAATATGTTTCATGAAAACTTCCTCAGGAAATGGAACGTCTAATAACATTTAACGATCAATTTCCTCAAAGACAAACATTCCCATGGAAAACTCAGTGTAATGGAATTTTAATCATGAAGTCAATATTACTTTTCTTGTTTATGTTGAAAGTTTCTCTGCAAGTTAATATAAAAAATGAAACTCATTGTGAAGGAAGGTAAAAGAGAATGCTATTTTTAAAACAAAAACTTAATCTTTGAAAAATCAATGTTTTTGTTAAATTCATCAAATCAATGCGTCTGATATTTCTTATAATTTCATACGAAAGACCAAGTCCTTGTTGTGCCGGCTTTATGTTGAATACGAATTTAGGCTTATGTATTGGTAAGTAATATGTTTTTACCTGTACTATGATTTTCCCAAATATACCTTATTTATTACACAAGACAGATGCGCCTGGCATGTAGTATTGTTTTTGAAAAGGGGCAGTCTGCTAAGATAAAAAAAATTGTCAACAACCCTAACTGGGGAAAAATGACGAGCCAAAAAAGGTATTCAAACTTCCAAACTTGGTAAAGGGGGAGAAGGGATGGGTTGGTGTGGTGGTAGATTGCAACTTTATTTCTTAATCAAAGTTTGTCTTACAGATACATTCCCGCATTATTATCATAATGATTTTACAATATTGCAACCAAAAAGGCGGGAGCTTTTCATTTTTCAGCAGTAAAAAAGTTAAACTGGAAAACACGAATAATACTATGTGTCTGTAATACCGTCTATGCAAAGTTGTTAACAATAACAATGTTTAGCAAAGGAAATATTTTGATTTAATCTATATATCATAAACTTGTATGACCATACCCAGAATTAACACTTGTAAGAACAGCTTCTATTTGCTGTAAGAGAAATCTGTGAATAAGATACATGTAAACTCTGTTTTTAATTTCATTAGCATGTCCTTTGGGATATTTTGGTCCTAAATGCAACCGACCATGTCCCTATCCTCAATTTGGAAGATTTTGCCAGAGAAGATGTCTTTGTGAACGAAAGAAATGCAACAAACGTACAGGATGTATCAAAGAAAAATCTTCAGGTAAGACAGCCTTAAAAGGTGTATCCCCACAACAAATACATAAAGATTGTAAAATTACTGTTTCTTTCAAAATTATGCTTATTAAGAATAAAAGTTATTTATTTCAGAGGACCTTTTTTATATCCATAGAATATCAACCTTTATTACAGCATATTTTTTCTCCCTTCCCCAACTCCTTTTCTCTCTCAGTCTCTCTCTCTCTCTCTCTCTCTTTTTTCTTTCTTTTTTTTTTTTTTTTTTTTTTTTTTTTTTTTTTTTTTTTGCTTGTTTGTGTAAAAGTGAATGTAATGATGGATTGCTAGTACATGTATAGAGACGGACCAACTGTCAGGTCATCTTTAAAAAGTTTTTTTGCCCTCTCCCGACCGACTAGTAAAAAATGGCCCGATCCAAAACGTGTTTAAACCTTCAAGAATTGGTTATTATTATTAATTATTATTATCATTAATTACTGAATTTTCACATCTCTTCAACATAAATTCAAATTTTATTTAAATTCAATTCTATAACATTTTGTAAATGAAAATTAAATGTCTGAGGAGAAAAAAATCCCCCAAGCTACCGACCCACTTTTTTTCTAAATCCTGATTCGGGAAAAGCCAACAAACATTGTTTCAAGGATGGCTTGAGCATTTTTTTTTGTTACAGAATCATTGTTATTTTGAACATGAAGAAAAGTTTATGTCTATGACAAACTGTAAGATACAACTTATTATACAGGGGAAAAGTTTTGTATCAAATAAATGCATACATGTACATCATGTTTAGCAATCTTCTATATTCCAGGTCAATTACAAACAGAGAAACCATTTGTGATGAAAACGGAATTATTCTCAGCTATAAACAAGAGTAATGCGATGCAAGAGAGTGTCCCAAGAACAGCTAGAAAAGAAGATGACTATGTGCGAAGGGAATCCATTGCACTCTCAAAGGAAGATAGTGCGACACCTATCCGATACACCATTGTCAGTCTTGTGGGTGTATCTGTCCTTCTTATGACGCTGTACATCGCATCCAATACAGTTAAAAGACACAGACGACAAGGAAAAGGAATGGACTTAGAAAACAGAGAGAACATTGTCAACGGCCCCAAAGACAAAACAGACAGATTGTGAATATAAACTAAGTGTAGAGTTCGAATTTTATCATGGAGGACTTGTTTTCTTTGTTTTTATGAGCACCGAATTGTTATGTTTATCTTTGTTGAAATATTTAAAATTGTATATATTTGTTTCAAAAGTGCAACATAAAAATATTAAACTTTATTCTCTGGATTCTCTATTTCAATCACATGCATAATCTGATCCAGCATAATTATGTAACGTTCATTGTTTCCTGCTCTTTACTTTGAAATTGAACTTGCTCCAGGTTGGTGACATGAGTTGATCAAACAAATTGATCTAACTTTCAGAAAAAAAAATCATTTAGCCATAGTATTAACATTGCTTTCCTTTTACTGTGTTAGAATGACTGTTACATCAAAACCTATGTAAAACTCGGAGGAATGTGCATTAAAACTTAATTTAATATCAATGCATTTCAGGAATCTCATTAAAAATGTGTACCAATGCAAATTTTGTTGAAATAATCAGTGATTAAAGTGTCTGTTTATTAAATATAATCAATTATTTCCGTATTTGTTGGTTTATTCTGACTCCAAATTGTACATCTATCGCATTAATTTGATGTGTATTCGATTTTCCTGAAAATCAAAATATTTAACAACCTTGGAAACCTTCCAAATAACACGTGAATTTTGCCGTCTACATTTCTGTGCCTAGTCTGAATATATTCAAGTATAAATCCTAATCTTTACATTTTTATCTGGAGTTAACTGAAAATAACATAATTGTCGTATTCTTGTACTCGAATTAACTTCAACTAACTTTAACTAACTTCAAAGATGTCTACTTTACATTTATAACCCATCAGAAATATGTTCAATTATGCATGTACGCATAAATGATTAAATTTTCTATTAAAAATGCCTTTTGCTTTCTTTAATTCTCATCTCAATCCATCTTTTATGTCCAAACCCATTCTGATTTAAGATTTCAAAAACACAAAAGTCACACTTTCAATGAAGAGGAATTTGACAAAAGCTGTCCTAGTGAATTGAAACTTTCCGCGGGACACATTCAAAATAGTTTATAAAAAAGATAATTTTAAAAACTCTTAAAAACTGCTTTTATTTATGGTAGTTCTAAAATGACTATTATGTATCTTTATCAAACTAGAGAGAAGACTTGTATCATGTGAGAAGTTATCTATGTAAATAATTGTGTACGTCTTAACATTATAAAATTACAATTCTTTAAGGATTCTCTTTGATGTAGTTAAATAACTAGTTATTTTGAATCAGTAGTATCCGAGATACTTATCTTTGTATCTCCTTGATATAAGCGCTATTTGGAAGTGTTTTCGGGTCTTTTGAATTTTTTACTTGTTTTTCATGAAAAATATGGCCAGCTTTAATTTTTCTTAAATTGTTTTTTATTTATTTTTTCTGTATACGTTCGATACCTGTCTAAACCCCCACCTAGCCATAAGGGCAGGCATTAAAAAAGACTTGAGTCTGTACTATCTAAAGCTCGTTGAATATAAAAACATGTACATGTATGACTAAACATGAAAATGTTACAAAGTTTAGAATAATGTGCCACTGTCTAAATACCTGAACAACAAAAGCTGATGATGAGATATTACAGAAATTAAATTAGTTGATACAAGTCTTTCAGTTAATGTTACTTTGTGATGGTTACATTGGCCTGCGAACCTTTACTCTGTCTTAGGGTAAACCACCCTTACAATAAGTACTATAGTTAGCTATAGTGTGCTGTAGTTAATGAAAAAAGTGAAGGTAACGGTGATCAATAAAAAAGGAAATATGTAAACAGGGCTTAAAACACGATCCACCGAAAATTCCAGAGATGGGATCAGGTACCTAGGATGAGTAAGCATTCCCTGTTGAACGTTTACACCAAATGAAACACGTCAGTCAAAATACGACCTAATGATAAATCATATGTGCTAACAAGGTCGTTATAACGCCCATGGAATTTATTAAATGCTGACCAAGGTTGTTTAAACCCCTGTAGCATAAACTTATCTGTAAGTAGCGTGCCTCGAATTAGAAGTTGATATATTACTCAGAGCATGTTCTTGAGTATCTTTTAAGGTGGGAGACATAAACACCATATGCAGGTGATAGCGGAATACATGTGTTACTACAAAAATAAGGGAAGTTGACGAGGGGAAACTGAAGTCATCTCGTTTGTCATACAATTTTGTTGTCAGTTGGCCTTTATCGTCTGTATTCATATACTTTTAAACTATAGTTTAGTTTTTCGGATGAGACGTTAACCAAAACTCCGTGTCAAGAATTACAAATCCCTTGGTAAGCAAACCAAAGTTTCTCTGGTTTTCGAAGAGTAGGCTAACTTTGCGCCAGAGAAGCTCAAAAACTTTAAAACCCGGTCATATGAAATAGTTTTTTTTTTTTTGCTGAAATATTGCTGACGTCCGATTCCTGTTAAAACTCCATCCAGCTGATTCGGCATTAAGCAACAATCCTAAAATAATAAAGATTACTATAGTTTACAATAGTTTACTATAATATCAAAGTTTTCATTGTTGTAAATCGAAGGTTTACTATAAACAGTAAATCAGTGTTGTATTATGAATTGCAAAGAGGTATATTTAATGACATTCTAGCATGCAGATTTCTTATATTCAAAGAAAATATTTGTTGTATTGCTTGTATATTCACATATAATTTATAAACTTTACATCATTAACGAAATATTAAAGGTCTAAATCTTCAGCAAGTTCAGAGTAAGTTACATATTAAATAACAGTATAAAAGTATTTACTATAATTAACCATTAAAAGTAAACTTTAGTTTACTATAGTAAATTTGTGCTTAGGTAAGTAGAAGTTTTTTGTTTGTTTGTATGTTGTTTAACGTCCCTCTCGAGAATTTTTCACTCATATGGAGACGCCACCACTTGCCGGTGGAGAGCTGCAAATTTTGTCCTATACTCGGCACTTACGGCCATTGAGCAGTGAGGGATCTTTTTCGTGCCAGCACCTACTGCGACACGGGGGACCTCTGTTTATAAGGTCTCATCCGAAGTACCGGTCTCCACGTCCCACAGTGGGATTGTAAGTAGAGTTAAATCCAAGCAAAGCCAGCATTTTGTCAAATCTACTTTTAAGGTGGATAACTATATCGTAAAATTCGCTGGTTAGGTACAAATGACCCTTAAGCAATAAAGTTATACTTTTAAAAGATACGATAGTTTTAGCATGAATGTGGAGAATTTTCAGCTGGTCACGAGTTGTTTTTGTTTGTTTGTTTGTTTGTTTGTTTTTTATGTTTGTTTGTTTGTTTTTTTTCAAAATAAGGATATAATGATTTGAAATCGTATGCTTTAAGTTCATGTTATTTAGACTTACATATGTATTGAACGTGCAAAATACTTATAAAATATGAATTATTTTTCTTCAGTTTTTAGCATTTATATAACTGATTCCACATTTCAAAAAAACATACCATTGAAAAGCAAATCGCTTATTGATATAGGCAAAATACCAGTTTTTTAGCAGCCAAAACAAGATTAATAAAAATTATCATGATTTTTCACTGCAAAGAAAAAATAAACAAATATTAAGACCGATAGAATAGCATTTATCATATAAAATCTCACATTCAAATGGAAATATGATTCTCCAACCTCCAAAGCTAGAGTGAATAATGAAATTGAAATTACATATAAGAAATATTTATTTTTTATTTTAGACCATGATAAAAATTTTCTTCCAGAACAGATTTCAGTATTTCTTTCCTGCAATATTAAATATTATCAGTCTACAACGATGCTTTTTGTATACTGATCCCGAAATATTTCCAAAGTATTCAAATTTTAGTTTGGGTTGTAGCTGTATACCATAAAACATTAAACATACCATACAGTTTCAAAGTACAGTGTCATAAGCTGATAAACATGAAATATAAATCCTGCTATCAAAATCCTGCCTCACAAAATCAAAAGAGTCACAAATTAAATCAACCGTTCAGAGTATTTTTGTAAAGTAAGTCAAAAAAGTCAAGGTCACATGGATTGTTACACTGTTAACTATCATGATGTCAAACGGTATACATAGCTAAATATCATAAATTCACCACAAAGTATCAAAAATATGCTGTATATCGGCACAATTAACTATATTGAAAAGTATATCAAAGCTGATATTGAAAGGTCTTGAGGTCGGTAACCATGACATTTCACTAAAGTCAAAGTGCCAAGCAATATATATGCAAAATATCAAGTCCATATCTTTTACAGGTCTCAAGATATAGGGTGTGATAGATGGACAGACCTACAGAAGGAAGGACAGACAGACAGACGGACGGACCAACGGACGACAGACAAAATGATATCAGAAAAGCCCACGTTCTTTCAGCTCAGGTGAGCTAAGAACGACTATCAGAATTAAATATATTTGATTATAAAGATACAAATCTTTCAAGCAGCCCTAAAACGTCATGAATCCCAGGGTTTTAGTCTATCTTTTTTTCAATTCGAGTCACATTCATGTATTTCAGCTGGTGTTAGCTCCAGGTTCTATATTTCTTCTCGCCAGAATTCCCTCATATTTTACTGGAATTATTTTTACTCTGATCCAGGTCCATCATTTCAATTTCCAAAGGTCTGTCTGCTTTCTTGATTCTTGGAAAGACCTTTAACCCAATATGGACGATAAAAATCAATGTGGAAAATATAGCCAGTGACGAAATACCAAAAGTCACCATTGAGTTCATCGACATGGAGGATTTTCTCAATGAACCTGCTGTTGACTGTGTCGAGTTTTCAGTACTCCCTGGAAAGTCAAGCAGTATTGTAATTCAACGATACATATATACGAACAAAAAGAACGTATTTCAACATTTTTCTTACTTTACCTCTTTCTAACATACAACCATAAATGTGATTGCAGGAATCTTTGTGGCAGGTACATCTTGATTGGCAGCCCAACCCAAAGGTTGGAGCTGGACAGGGACTGGAACAGTTAACCCCATAGTAACCTATATTACACCCTGGTAACAAAAAAAAAGATCATAGGCCTTTATTTATGTTTAATTTTTTTTTTATTCCGAGCATGTGTATTGAAATACTTTTCTTTATTTTTAACCAACGTATTTGACAATCGGGTCAGAAT